TGATATCTTCCCATAATTCATCTGGCTTTCGGTCGTTGGTGTTCAATTGCATCAAATCTATTCTTTAGATGATCTCTAAATTCAGGAGGGATAAATTCAAGATCATACTTTGGCTCTCTTGGACTTGTTTTCATTGTCTTTAACTTCAAGTTGAATTTGCATATGAGCAGTTCTTATGATATTGAACGTTAATCAAGAAGGGGCAATTCTCTGTAATTGTTGTTAGGTGCCATCGAGTCTGTTCCAACTCATAGTGACCCTGTGTGCAACAGAATGAAACACTGTGTCATCCTCGCAAATGTTGCTGTGTTTGAGCCCGTGGTCCCAGCCACTTTGTCAGTCCATCTTGTTGAGGATCTTCCTCTTCTTTGCTGACCTTGTACTTTACCAGCCATGTTCTTCTCTAGGCACTGGAACTGGTCCTTCCTGATAACATGTCCAAAGTACCTGAGATGAAGTCTCACCATCCTCACTTCTGGCTGTACTTCTTCCAAGACAGATTTATTTGTTCTCTGGCAATCCATAGTGTATTCAGTATTCCTCGCCAGTGCTATAATTCAGGTGCATCAATTTTTCTTTAGTCTTTCTTATTCATTGTTCAGCTTTCGCATACGTAGGAAGCAATTGAAAATTCCATGGCTTGGGTTAGGCCTTGGTCCTTAAAGTGACATCTTTTCTTTTTCTACTTTAAAGGGATCTTTTGCAGAAAATTTGCCCAATACAGTATCTGCTTTTGTGGCTTTTGATTTTGGATCCAAGTAAAATAAATCCTTGACAACTTCAGTCTTTTTTCCATTTGTCATGATGTTGCTTATTGGTACAGTTTTAAGGATTTTGGTTTTCATAATATTGAAGTATAATCCATATTGAAGGCTGTAGTCTTTTATATTCATCAGTAAGTGCTTCAAGTCTTCTTCACTTTCAGCAAGTAAAATTGTGTCATCTGCATATTGCACGTTGTTAATGAAGTCTTCTTCCAATCGTGATGCCACATTCTTCTCCATATAGTGTTCTCCACTGGATTGTTTACTCAGCATACAGATTGAATAAGTGTGGTGAAAGGATACAACCCTGACTCACACCTTGTCTGATTTGAAACCACACAATATCCCCTTGTTCTGTTCAAATGACTGATTCTTGGTCTGTGTACAGGTCCACATGAGCACAATTAAGTGTTCTGGAATTCCTATTTGTCACAGTGTTATCCATAATTTGCAATCATCCATACAGTTGAATGCCTTTGCATGGTCAATAAAACACATGTAAACATCTTTCTGATTTAGCCTAGATCCATCTGACATCAGCAATGATATCTGTCATTCCATGTCCTCTTCTGAATCCAGCTTCCATTTCTGGAAGTTCCTATTGTACTGTTGCAAATGTAATTGTGTAGGATACAGAAATTCAATTAATCATTGATGTGAAAGTATTTATCCATCAAATGAAGTTGATAAAATTTGAGGTGATGAAAGTATATGGGTCTTTTGTCTTCTGAACTCTGTATGGTTTAATCTGTAAACTTTGCTTCTGGTCCAGTAGGGTCTTCTTCAGGAAATGGGAAAGTTGGAACAGCTCTGACAAAGTACTATGATGATATATATTTTGATTCTGATTCTGAAGATGAAGACAAAGCAGGTGAGTAACTTTTATTTAGCAGGCTTAGCAGTTATATTGAATGGAAAAGCTTTACCTAACAATCATTTGAAATTATTATTTCCCTCTGAGTTTTATTTTTTAAGAAATTATAGGACATTGATGTGAGAAGCACTAGTAAGAATAGTTGGAGATACAGCATGTGGTGACTTGGGCCCCAAGAACAGTCATGGGCACACCTGGGGTGAGGGCCAGTGTCCCCTCACTCATTATCTCCCTCTCCCTTCCTGTTCCTTAGAACAGCAGCATTTGTTTTCAGACTTGCAAATAGTTTCTATATTTCACTCTTCTGAATTTTTATAACTTGTTGCTTTTATATTAGCTTCTCTGTTCTTTGGAATTGATTTTGTATAAACTTTGAGCAATGTGGGAGATGAAACTAATTTCATTAGATTAGTAATTATACTGAAGTACACAGATAATTTATATGGTAAAATATGTTTTTATATAGTATTACCTAAATTCCTACCTGCTAGGGTACATTTAAGGAGCTCTGGTGGCGTGGTGCCTAAGGCATTTGACTGCTAACCACAAGGTTGGCAGTTCAAACCCACCAGCCACTCCACGGAAGAAAGACTGGCCATTTCTGTAAAGATTACCACCTCAGAAACCCTAAGGAGGTCACTATGGGTTGGAATCGACTCGATGGCAGTGAGTTTGGTTTTTTCTTTGTTTTAGGGTCCATTTAAAAAGTCTACTATCTATGGATGGCTTTAGTTTGTTTTTTTTTTTATTTAAGTAACATTTTATATATGGGAACTGCTGGAGAATTTAGACATCAAGAATACTTTCTAGATTGCTTTGAGTGACCAGGCAGTGCAATAGTTAAGCACTCAGCTGTTAACTGAAAGGTCAGTGGTTTAAATCCACCAGCTGCTGCAAGGTAGAAAGATGTGGCAGTCTGCTTCCATAAAGATTACAGCCTAGGAAACTCTAATGAGTAGTTATACTCTGTCCTTTTGGATCACTATGAGTTGGAGTTGATTGATGGCACACAACAGCAAAATTTAGGCATGATAAATAGCCATATCCTTATGTTTCAAAATTAGCACAGGTAACCAAGGAAAAAAAGAAGAAGCAACACCGGATTCCAACAAATGATGAATTACTATATGATCCTGAAAAGGATAACAGAGATCAGGCCTGGGTTGATGCACAGAGAAGGGGGTAAGAACTTAAAGTTAATATTTAGATCTTCAGGAAAAAAAAATAACCGAAAGATGATTTTCACTACATTCACATTTTCACTACATTCATATATATTTTAAATGTCTGTGTATATATGTATATATGTTTATATGTACACATAAACAAAAAACTTTCAGAAAAACTGCTGAAAAGTTTATTTTGAAAGTAACAAGCAGACTTCAGTTAGATAATTGATTTTTAAAAACTGTTGTTGACTTAAAACCACTATAGTCAATCCCTTCATTCAAGAAACAAAATTTACTTTTTCAAATAGACACAATTTTAAATTACTTTGAGATTAAGAGTGTATGAAGATGAAGAATGGATGTTATATTTAGAACCTGAACTGTTCTTGTTAGCTGGTTATAAATTTGATTTTTATTTAAAGACTAATTTGTCTCAAAAGTAGAAGATTGACAACTTACCAACATTGTCCAGTGCTTCCCCAATCTGGCTGTGCCTCAGAATTACCTGGGGAATCACTTGAAACACAGACCTTGAGTCCTGCTCTGAAGGTTTTGATTCAGTTAAAGAGGGATATGAATATTTTATTAAGTCTGGAGGGATTTCGTTGTCATGGGCGGTGGGCCTCTTTTCCCTGTTTCACCATGCATTGGTTCCTCCAGCTGCCCTTCACATTTATGTAATGCATATTTTTTGATCACCCACTATGTGAAATGAACATTTTAACTTTTAAGTGCTTTGTGATATTGAGATGGTCAGAGAGCTTATAGTTTAGTTGCTGATTCAATACTGAACTCTTGAAGTCACTGCACAGCCCACATTTAAGGAGTGGGGAGTTGTGCTCCACCTCCACCTCCTTGAGGAGACAGCATCTACATAAACTATTTGAAATTCTTCTCTATGGGAAATGTATCTATTCTTCATACTTTATCTTCTTGTTCAATTTGTTCTAGCCTTTGTCATTAGAAATGCTTTCAGTTGGCTCCTGGGTCCCTTTGACTTACCTCTATCAATATGAGGGTTTTTTTTTTTTTTTTTGAGGACTTCCTTACTTTCTGACACTACAAGGCACTCCAGGTCCATGTGGTATATTTTCCTAGCACTGTAAGGAGCCCTGGATCCTTTTATTGGAGAATGGTACTAGAAACCAAGACCTGGCTTTAATGTGTTTTTTGCTTTACTTTTTTTTCTGTTTTAGCTATCATGGTCTGGGAATACAACAGCCACATCAGCAGCAGCCTGTTCCTAACAGTGATGCTGTCTTGAATTGTCCAGCCTGCATGACCACTCTGTGCCTAGATTGCCAAAGGTAATAGATGAAGGGTAACAAAAAACAAAAATACAACTTGGTGGTCTTTTGTTTAAATCAGAAATACACTTTTAAGGTACTCAGGAATCTTGTTAAGGTTCTGTACTCATATATCCTTGGTGCTGCATGATAAATCTTTATACAAATAATTTTGGTTATATATAGTTCTATTATAAGTTGTTGTTGTTGTTGTTGTTGTTGTTTGCCGTCGAGTCGGCCCCGGGTCATAGCGACCCCTCCTTGGGTTTCCAAGGCAGTATCACTACGGAAGTAGGATTGCCCAACCTTCCTTCCGAGGAGTGGCTGGTAGGTTTGAACCGCCAGCCTTCTGGTGAGCAGTCAAGTGCCTTAGGCACTATGCTACCAGAGCTCCTCTGTTATAAGTAGCTTTTTTAATTAAGCACTTGCCAACTCAAGAAGATTCAGTGAAACTGCATACATATTTTTTTTTTTGGAATGACAAAATCTCCCAAAGGGAGCTCTGGTGGTATAGTGCATAAGGTATATGACTGCTAACTAGAAGGCTGGCAGTTCACACCCAGCAACCACTCCTTGGAAGGAATATTGGGCACTCTACTTCCGTAATGATACCACCTCAGAAACCCAAGGAGGGGTCGCTATGAGTCAAATCAACTCAATGGCTGTGAGGTTGGTTTTTTTTGGTAATCTCCCAAATACATTCTTGCCCTTTTCCTTTTTTTGTTTCCTTTGGAAATCTTACAAACAACTAGCTTAGTCCATGTTCTGAATCAAATTAATGGAAATTAAGTGATAATATCGGTAGTGGGTTTTTACTATGAACTGAGTACCTAGTTCTAGTTTATTCTTACTAACTAGCTTGAGGTTTCTGATCATCTGCATTAATTAATTTTAGTATTCTTTTGGGTGCTCAATCTTTTTGCATAGAAATTGACACTTAAAATATGTTTATGGGATAAAGAAAAATAAAATGACTTAGTGTACTTAAGTGATTTCTCTTTGAAACTAAAGCACATCATAGGGTGATGATCAACCAGTGAAAGTCATGTTCCATATTAGTGTAGGGTTCCAGTAAAATAGAGTAAAAGTGAAAATTTAAAGTTTAGAGAAATAATAATGTAAGACTTCTAAGAAGAAAATACCAGATCCTGGAAAATGGAGTGTTAAGTAAATAGTTCAGAAAAATGATTTTTATTCTGATGTATAGAGCTCCTTATAAGAAATAGGAGGGAAAAAAATATATCAATATGAGATAATAGCTTCTTATAGATGTGAGATAGGTAGAGTCATAAGTACACATATACATAAGAAACTAGAACTATTTTTGATTGAATATATTTTTGAAAGACTGAATTGTCATCTTACCTGGAGAAGTGCCAACTTGCCTAATCCAAATTCCTGGTAGTTGTGGTCAGCAAGATGGTGGAGGTCAGCATTTGGAATTAATGAATGCATAGGAGCTCTGGTAGCATAGTGGCTAAGACACTTGCCTGCTAACCAGACGGCTGGCGGTTCAAACCCACCAGCCACTCCTCGGAAGGAAGGTTGGGCAATCCTACTTCCGTAGTGATACTGCCTCGGAAACCCAAGGAGGGGTCGCTATGAGTCGGGGCCGACTCGACGGCACATAACAACAACAACACAACAGTTCACTCTTTTTTAATCAAATAGATTTTACTGTTGCATGAAGCTTGAGGGAAAAAATAGAAGAGCCACTTACTAACCAGGGAAAGAGCAGGGAAATACTAAATGAATGAAGAGAACAAAGGATGCATTAGCTATATACTTTATTGGTGGAGTAAAGCCAAGAGTAGGCTTTATAAGGTTTGAAGCTTAAACTTTTAAAACTTTAGCTTCTATTAAAATGGTGACAAGAGGAGGGCAGAGCCTCGGGCCATAATGGGAAATGAAATAGTCAAAGATTATTTAAACATTACCTGTCAAGTTTCCAACTACTTTTGTCATTCCAAATTTGAAGAGCATATCAAATTTTCTTCTGACACAAAGTTACTTTTTTTTCTTTTAGCAGTTTAAAACAATATCCATTTATTAGCTTGCAGTTCTTTTTTTTTACATTTTATTTTTAAAAAATTTTTACTGTGGTTTGGGTGAAAGTTTACAGAGCAAATTAATTTTCCATACAGCAGTTCATACACATTTTGTTTCATGACATTGACTACAATTCCCCACAATGTAACAGCTCTCTTCCCACTTCCTCCCTGTAGCTACCTCTTCCCTGTATCCTTCTTTTCTATGCATTTCTGTTCCTGAACTATCTTCCTGTGCAAATACTGTCTTTCTGTTCTCCCATGATTGATTGTTCTAAGGAGTATATCTATCTGATATAAATGTTCACCCTATATGCCTGTCTTTTATTTGGCTGGAAGCCATGGGAGTGAGTTCAATTCCAGACCTAAGGGTAACTAGGGTCCATAATCTTGGGAATCTCACCAGGTTTTATCAGACCAGTAAACCTGGTCTTTTTGTATGATTTTGAGTTTAGTTCCATATTGTTCTTCCACTTTATCCAGGATCTCCTGCACTGATCTCTTTCTGAGTGGTTGACAGTCATAGCCGGGCACCATCTAGTTCTTCTGGTCATATAGGCTGAGGTTCACATGGGCCACTATGCAAAATTACTTTTAAGGCAGTAGTACATTCATTCTTTATACAATTATTGAAAGTTTCTTCTTGTTCCTATAACAACTCTTAAAATTTCTTGAAATTTGCTGTTTTGTTTCCATACCTTTAGTGGGTGTTTCAGTAAGTTTTTGGTGTTCTCAAAATTTATCTAATTGGATAAATATTAAAATAGAACATATAATCTAATTTCTTCATTTTATTTTCCTCTGAGGCATGAATCATACAAAACTCAATACAGAGCAATGTTTGTGATGAATTGTTCTGTCAACAAAGAGGAGATTCTAAGATACAAAATCCCAGAGAACAGAAAGAAAAGGCGGGGCCACAAGAAGATGAGGTCTAACCATGAAGATGCTGCAAACCAGGCAGAGATGGAGGCAGAAGAAATCTACCACCCAGTCATGTGCACTGAGTGTTCCACCGAAGTGGCAGTCTACGACAAGGATGACGTCTTTCATTTCTTCAATGTTTTAGCAAGCCATTCCTAAATAGTGCAGTTGGTATTTAATTGCCTGGTATTACATATAAGGCAAGTACAGACAGTTATTTTTCTCCTTCCTGTTCATATCATTTAATGACATTCTAAATTGTTGAAGAAGCAATGTTTCATCTTTATGAAAGATAATGGTTATTAACCTTCATCCCCCCCTTTTTTAAGTTTTCTCCAATACTGACAGGACTGATTATTCATTCTCTTTTTGATGGTCAGTTGGAAATAGTGGGCTTTTATTTATTAAAGCTCCTTAGAATTAAAATGTTGTGGAGTTATAAGTAACCCTATTTTTTTATTTTCAGATATACTGTTACCTTTGGTGTGATTAAACTAAAAACTGTTTCCTGACTTCTGTCTGTATTATTGTTTGCTAAGAAGTATCTTTATTTTTCACTTATCTCCCACATGGAGTGACAGTATTTGTTGTTGTTGTTGTTGTTATGTGTCATTGAGGCAGCCCCGAGTCATAGTGACCCCTCCTTGGATTTCCGAGGCGGTAACTACGTAAGTAGATTGCCCAACCTTCCTTCCGAGGAGTGGCTGGTGGGTTTGATCTGCCAGCCTTCTGGTTAGCAGTCAAGTCCCTTAGGCACTACGCTATCAGAGCTCCTTGACTGTATTTAGTAACTATTAAAAATTACATGGAGTTGATATGTCAAGTGCTTTGAGTAATACAGATCCGTGGTAGTTAAGGTTATATGTCAACTTGAGTGGGCCTGGTTTTGAGTGGCTAAGCAGCTGTATATAGTTATTCCTCATGATGAGATTGGTACTCATCTCCATGGTGGACTTTACTGGAGCAGCTGAGTAGCTGCCTTAGGGTTGTAGTCTGCTTCCAGTATATAAGGAGAAGCTTTGAGAACGGTCTCTGCAGCTTTTGGCATGCTTAAATTCTTCATGTAGCCGAGTTGTCTTTGTTCAGCAGCCTGCAATGTTTGCTGATCTTGGGACTGTTAGTGGACTTGAATTAGTGGCTCAAATTAGTGATTTGATAATTTTGAGACTGTCCCATTTTACTTGTTGACCTTGTGTTTATTAGCTTCAGCAGTCAGCAGCTGCCTGAGTAAAGAGACAACCTGTAGCTCCAGTGGGGGCTAGGAGCAAGAGGCAGAGCTGAAGCCCAAGGTCGAGGGTCTTTTATGCAGTCCCTAGAGCTGGCACTTTGAACTCAGACTTCTAGCCTCCTAAACTGTAAGAGAATAAACCCCTGTTTGTTCAAACCACTCATTTGTGGTTTTTTCTGTTGGAGCAGCATGAAGTAACCAAAGCAAGATCTTTCTCTAAAAGGTTCTACACTTAGTAAATAAACATAAAAAATTAGACACGTATAGTGAGGGAGAGCAACCTCACCCTCCAACCTTAGACCTAAAAGTTGTATTGTACCTCTTATGCCTACCATTTATACCTTATACTGCCAGCAACAAAGGTAGGATTTTTTTGTTTTAATAATAACAAAAATCATTAATGAGAGTTTTGGGAAACTGCTTTATAGCATCTGTACATTTAAAATTTTTAAAGAATGTTACGAATGAATGTTTGCAAAAACAATATTAGAAAATTTAGGATCCTCCTATTATATTCTAATAGAGAAAATGTGGTAGAGTAGTAAGAAATTAGGAAATGTGTTTTAATTCAGGCTCTGCCTTGCTAACATTGGGCAAGCTTGTTCCTTTGAGCCCATTTTCTCATCTATAAAATGAAAAGATTAGAACAGTGATTTCCCACAGAGATCGGGACTCAGCACAGCTGGAGTAGGACCTCTACATATCTCCTCAGAGAATAGTATGGTCCCGTTAGGGAAAGCATATCCTCCTTGCCTTCTGTGCTTTCTAAAAGCCACATGTAAATAAAGCCACTGGAATAAATGGTGGTGTGTTGTTTGTATGAATAGGAGGGAGAATAGGAAAGAATCTGTACTAGGGAATTTCCAGTGTCTTAACACCTAGCAAATATAGTCATTTTTATAGTATACTGATGTCTGTCCCGTTGGGAGCACTATACTTCCAGATGTTTCAATGTATCACCAGATGATATGTTACAAAATAACACTACCAGTCTATTTTTTCAACCTTGTATTTGCTGTATTGTAGCTTTGCAGGATCTCTTTCTGTCATTGCAAACCCTACATTACACCTCGGTCTATACTTCTAGTGGGAGGTTCTAAGTGGTCTTACACATAAAAATCACCTGGAGGTGCTGTTAAAAATGTACAGTGTTGCATCCCTGCTCTGAGGAGGTGTTTCAATAATAAAAGTGAGGCAGGAGCATTATGCTCCTTAAGAACTATCTATATGAGATCAAAGTGACAATAGCAACTAGAAAGATTAGATAGGAACCTTAGGGGGCAGTGAGTTCATGTTAATGGGGGAGGAACAACTCAGAAAAGGAGGGTGAAAGTGGTTGCACAACTCAAAGAATGTAATTCGTGTCACTGAATTGTCCACGTAGAAACAGTTGAATTAGTGTATGTTTTGCTGTGTATATTCTCAACAACAACAACAAAATGAAAATTTTTAAAAAAGGCAAACAAGAAAGAAGCAGAAAATCAACATGTAACGAGAAGGAAAGTGAAAATGGTGTAAGAATAAGTTATATCTTTGTTGTTATTGTTTACTGCCATCAAGTCGACTCTTGATTCATGGAACTTTATGAACAACAGGATCAAACCATTGTTGATCCATAGTTTGTTTTTTTTTTAATTGTGAAAATTAGAGAGTTTTTATTGGCTGATTTTCCTAAGTAGACCACCAGGTTTTCTTCCTAGTCTGTCTTAGTCTGGCAGCTCCGCTGAATCATGTTCACATCACAGCAACACACAGGCCTCCACTGACATGAGTGGTGGCTGCACTTGAGGTCTCCTAGGTGGATGGCGAGAATTCTACACTGAACCGCCAATGGCCCACAATTACCATATGGCCCAGCAGTTCTACTCCTGTTACTTGCCCTCGAGTCAGACCCTGACTCATAGCGACCCCTCCTTGGATTTCCGAGGCAGTATCACTACAGAAGTAGATTGCCCAACTTTCCTTCCAAGGAGTGGCTGGTGGGTTTGAACTGCCAGCCTTCTGGTTAGTAGTCAAGTGCCTTAGGCACTATGCTACCAGAGCTCCCAATTCTACTCCTAGGCATCTGCAATTATTCCCAGCATCCCACACCCCCACAGTTGCATATTTTGGTAATGGACCCAATAACAAACACTAGTTTTAAAGAATTGTTCTGGGACAAGAGGATGAAAGAGGGAGTGGAAAAGAAACTGGAGCTCTCTTGGAGCAGTGGTTCTCAAACTTTGGGTGCAAAAGAATCATTTGGGAAGTTGTTGAAATGCAGATTTCGGAGATTATGATCAAGAGGTCTGGGGTGGTGCAGGCAATAGTGCTCACTGCTTTTGGTTGGGGGATGTGTGGAACTGCTACTCCTAGGGCTGCAGTAACCTCTGTCCTAAACAGGCTCATGGTGCAGAAATTTGACTTGACAATGACAGCTGTGACCTGGTTGTTGTTTTCATCATATTTTTTACCTAGGGCTGAGGACTTGCTGTATTATACGACTTTGATATTGTTGATGGAATTTGAGAATCTAGAGTATGATTAACCCTCGATGGGGCTGTAGAGATCATTGATGGATACTTACAGATGAAAGAGAGCCCTTATTGTACAGGGAATGGAAATATCTTGAGCTGTGGGAGAGAAACATTACAGTGGCCTTATCATAGATCCAAGGACTAAGGAGGACATTTTAAAGGCTTGAAGTGGGATGCTTGGGCTCTAAAATCATAGCAATCATTTTCTTTATGGTTCTGCTTTTGGGATTATGCCTAGAAGAACTTTCCCCCTCTTTTTTCCCCAATTTTATTTCTTTTTATTTTTTTTATATATCTTTTTGGCCCACTTGAAATTTATGTGCACTAAATGCATTGATTTTGGGAGGTTCCAGCAAGATGGCAGACTAGGCAGAAGGACTGCACAGACCCTCTTCAACAAAGAAAAGGGAAACCAATTAACACAGACACAGAAGATAATGTTGGACCCCTGAGCCTTGAAGGGAAAGATACAAAAGTGGACTAAACCCCAACTAGCAGAAGAATTTGCGTGAAAATTCCAAAAAAGGAGACACACGGAACTGCGGTCTGGCAGCGACAGATGGCTTGGAGATTCCCGAGTGGTGGTAGGACCTAGAATTAACCTAAATATCACCCTGCTAGCCAGGGACTGCATGAAGGACTGTGCATGGTGCCTGGGGAACAAACGGAGAAGGTGAAGAGAAAGGTGGGCTGAGCTGTGGACTTTTGCCAATCCGGAGGGCGCCGCCATTTTGTAGGTTTAAAAAGCTGCTTGACTATTTTGGATATTTAAAGAGACAGTGCTCTCACAGATTCCTGTGGTGGTAGGACTTAAGAATTAACCTAAAAATCACCCTGGTAGCCAGGGACTGCACGGAGGACTGTGCACGGTGGCTGGGGAACAAGCGGAGAACATGAAGAGAAAGGTGGGCTGAGCTGTGGACTTTTGCCGGTCTGGAGGGTGCCGCCATTTTGAAGGTTTAAAAAGCGGCTTGACTATTTTGGATATTTAAAGAGCGCTCTCGTGGATTTCTGGGGCTTAAGAACATATTCTGCTTTCCAGCAACCCCAAGGACACTTGGGGCCTGCAAGACTGAAAAGGCCAACGATAAAAAACCACCAAGAAGAGCCTGAACCACTCTTGGCTGCTCTTCATAAACAGTTAACAGAGATCTAAATACAACAACGTCACGATGCCTCAGAAACAATAGAAGATCACAGTCCACACAAAGAAGCAGGATAAAATAGTAGAAACAAGGGAGCAGGATAAAGACCCACAACACATCCCTGAGGAAGAAGCAGCATTGGAACTCTCTGATAAGGAATTCAAAAGAATTATATTTAGGTATCTTCAAAGGATTGACAGACAGATCAAAGAAAACACAGAAAAAACCTTACAAGAAATTTGGAAGAAAATACAAGAACAGAATGACAAA